TTACCTAGTTCGAACTAAGCGCTCCGTTAGTTCGAATTAAGTTCGAACTAACGGAGCGCTAGTGTAGCGCCTATGAAAGTTAGTTCGAACTAACGTCCGTTAGTTCGAACTAACTTTGTAGTGTAGACATACCCCCAGGGATTATTAATGGGGAAGAGCTTTTTTTTCCCCCACCTGAATGTCACAAATTGAAATCCAGCCCAGGTCAGAACTGAGAATGGTTATCATGCAATGGGTGTTCAGGGCCCGATACAAAGTGAACTTAGTCTCATTCCTGTTAGAAAGGTGGCTAGTGCACAGAGCAGCTGCTCTGAACAGTCTCAGTAAGTTTTGCGTAGGCACGGAGACTATTTCCATTGCCACCTGATCTGCAAACCTCGTCCCTCCAGTCACAGGAGAGGTGCTATGTCAGGGCAGTCTGCGGGGAACTTATGCGGCTGGTGCTTAACATGGGCTAATTCAGCACTGCCTTCATTCAGCACTACCTCAAAAAGTGTTCAAAGCAAATAAAACACAGAAAATGCCGGCTTTTCCTGATGCAAAACATGTCGCTTTATGGGCCTGATTTTTCAAAGGGGCAGTTCCATAGAGGTTGCAATGACAGGTGAGCTACTGTAGATGAACTAGCACTTCAATTCCAAAGGTTTGTTCATCCCATTGTCTAGACGTGCCGTGTTTGGGATTAGATGACATAGTGGTACGAGCCCAGTCTTCTATCATATTTACTTACTTACCTGACAGGTACCATATGAGATTTAACTAATTGATAATTTTGGTGCCAAGAGTCGGGTAAGTATTGAGGGGGGACTGAGATTAGACAGTGAATTAAGGGAGGGAGATTAGGACTGGGAGTCTGAGTTTAGGGAGATGGAGAGACAGAACGGATGAGGAGCCAGGAAGCAAGGGCTGAATTTCAGGTGGGTGGGAGGCAGCAGCCCTGGGTTCTGGGACACAGCTAGCTTTTCACCCCGTGCCCTGGATGCTAAGGGAGTGAGAGGAAAGTACTTTCATGCCGTGCATGCCTCTCACACCAGCCAGCTCCTCCAGATGTGAGATGAATGCACGGAATACAAGCACTTCTCACTCCCTTAGTGTCTGGGGGAAAGAATAAAAAGCAAGCTGCGTCCTGGAGCACACGGCTGCTGCCCCCCACCCACCTGAAATTCCGCCCTTGCCAGGAAGTGAGGAGTGGGACTGGCTGTGCACAGAGAATGAAACTGGATGTGAGGAAGGGAACAGAATGGAAGCTGGGGTGGGAGGAGGTGCTTGGACAGAGCCCAGAGGGAGAGGGCTGAGCAAGGAGACTGGGACTGGAATAAGCCAAATGTGTGGTGATTGGGACCACACAGGCCAGGAGAATGAAACAGGGACAAGGGGGCAGGGAGTAGAGAGGATTGGGATGCAGGTGAGGAGAGCACAGAAAGCTGCGCGAAACAGGCAGAAGTGTCTGTGCCCACTAGAGAATATTCCCTATGGCTACGAAATAGCTATTCTGCGTCTTAAGAGCAAGCCCATTATATTGAAATGCAATAGGCTCGCTATTCTGACATTCCTATCAACCTCATTGCACATTTTGTTAAGGGACATTTTCGAAGAGAGTTTTATTTTGAAATTTGGTGCTGTGCAGACAAACACCAAGTTTCAAAACACAGCTATTTCGAAATTACCTTGAAATAAACTACGCAATTTGGCTTATTTTGAGGTAAATGGTGCTGTGTAGATGTATCTTATGAGGGCCTGGAATGATTCTCATCTCTTCTCTGCAGTCACCAAATATCTATGAAACCTCCCCCTCCATCTGGTCTACAGAGACTGATATTGCTATTCGTTACGGTTAGCTCACAGGGCTCGGGTCTGTGCAATGGAACCAAGGTTCCAGTTCTGCTGATGACCCAAGTGGATGTAATCATGATGCCACATGTTGGACTTTCTCTTTTTTCAGTTGGATTTTTTTTAAACTTAGGAAATTGTAACAACAACAACAACAAGCTAAGTTGAAAGAACATTAGGCTGAGTACAGGCAGTCCCCGACTTACACGGATCCAACTTATGTCGGATCCGCACTTACGAACGGGGCTTTTCTCGCCCCAGAGCTCACGGGCGGTGGGTTGCCGCCTGTGTCCTCCGGGGTGAGAAAAGCTTCTCCCGGTCCCCCTGGTCTGCTGGGGGGGTCCAGCAAAGCCGCTGGACCCCCCCCAGCAGACCAGGGACACCCCCTAGAGGGGCACCAGTATGACTAGGTATATAGCACCTTGATGACTGTTCCCTCCTTCAGTTCCTTCTTGCTGGAAGTGATTCCGAAAGAGGGGAGAGTGGGACGGTTTTGGATGGACAAGAGCAACACATCTCGAAGAACACCACTTATGGAAGGTAATTGTCTTTTTTCTTCGAGTGATTGCTCATACGCATTTCAAGTTAGGTGATTCCCAAGCTGCTATCCAGCGGAGAGGTCGGCGATCACTAGTCTGCAACACAGCATTCCCAAACGCAGCATCACTCTAGTCTGATGTTGGATGACATAGTGGGATGTAAACACGTAGACCAAGGACCCCATGGCTGCTCAACAAATGTCTTGGACAGGGACATGCATAAGAAAGGCCGTTAATTAGGCCTACACCTGGATCGAATGGGCAGACGATTGAAGGAAAAAGCTTCACAGCAACTGTGCATGTAGCGCGCACAAACCTAACTTGGAGTGTTCATGAGGAATCACTCAAAGAAGAACTAAAGGGTCCAGTCCTGCTGATGACCCAAGTGGATATAATCATGATGCCATATGATGGACTTTCCCTTTTTTCAGTTGGCTTTAAAAAAACAAACAAACCCTTAGGAAATTGTAACAAAGAAAAACTAAGCTGAAAGAACATTAGGCTGAGTAACTCACTTTCATTTGCCCCATTTTCAGCATATGCTTAATAAGGCTTTTCTAGTGCACCAGGGAGCTGCGAGGACTGATTGGTTTGTGGCCCAAATGCAAGCCCCACAGGACTGCAAGTGTGGGCACTAGCAGTTCCGTTTGCAAGGCAAGTGTCAGTGTCTGAAAAGCACTATTTAAATGCCATGTATTATCAGTCAGTTATGCACAGTTGTGCAGTCGTTTCTGAAACATGTGCTGACTTCCTAGAACTCTTACACCTTATTAATTAACAGATCCCTGAAGATCACAGTGCCACTGTCATGAAAAACAGCACTGGTCTCAGGGACATGCCATGACCTTTTGGAGTCTTTTTTATGAGCCTTGTGTAATAATTCATTCAGAGTGGGCGTTTTGATGTCAAAAAGTAACCAGGAGCCAGAGGACTACCAAATGTTCTGACACTCTCTCCTGTGCTCCAGGCCTTGTGCTGCTGACATTGGGCATCTAACCCTGTGACTCTAACGTGCAGAGGCTTATCCTGTTATCAGGACAGCAGCTGGACAACCTTGGTGTCATTAAAGTGACTGTGCAAAGTCTGTTTGGATAAACCCAGAGGGTTGTTTGCTAGACAAACAGCATATGATGAGAGTCCACCAACCCCCCATAGCTCTGTTCACTGGCCAACTCCTGAAAAAAAGAAGGGATTATTAAATCTCTACCAGGCGGTTTCTTTTTCATTTGTATTTGGAAGAGTCCCCCAATTTCAGAGGAGGCTTTTTTGTCCAATTATGAAACTTTCCACGGTGCTAGTTCTCTGCTGTGTTTTTTTCACTAGCAGAGCCAGCCCTGTCCCAACTGAGGATGCAGACTGTGATGACCCTGAAGTCTTTGAAGCTGTGGAAATAGCACTGAGAGAATATAATGGAGAGAAAAAAGATGGCAACCAGTTTGCTCTGTACATGGTGATGGAAGCAAAGAAAACAGTAAGTAAACTTTGGAAAAGCATCTTTGCACTTTTTCCTTATGGCCAGATTCTGCCCACCTCCCTCATGGGGAACCGCACCTTTGTCTGCATGTTTCGATGCAATCAAAGCAGCTGGTGGCAGAGTAAGATATTAATCCTCATGAAAAAGAGTAGCAGAATCTAATTCTGTTTAATCCTCATGTTTCTTATTACTACTGAGCCCTTACTCACACACTGGTAAGCAGTGCCTCTCAATTCCTTTACTGGACTACACCTGCCAGTAAAGGGTTAAAAATCTGGCTTTATGGGGGGAAAAAACCTTTAAATTCTTAACTAAAAAAAAGAGTAGTCCTATAGCACCTTAGAGGCTAACAAAAGAATACAGATAGTATCGTGAGCTTTCTTGGGCACAACCCACTTCTGCAGATGAGAGGAGCAAGAGGCACCTTTTTAAGTTACAGACTAACACAGCTACTCGCATTAAACTCTTGTAACCCAGTTGAAGCAAATACTAAAGAATCTACGAATAAAGTAGTTACATAGAAATCAAAGGGACTACTCAAGGAGTAATGAACTACTCCACAGGAGCTGTGACATCAGAATCTGGCTCTGTCTTGGCACTGTATGGCAGGGTCTCTCCAGTACCTTCACTTGAAGTACTAAAGGGAAGTGGATTTCAGGATTAAGTTAAGAAACCTGGTTTCTTTTCACTGCTTAACCACTGACCCAGTGTTGTCCCCTTACCAAATTTCTAGATGGAAATACTAACATTGACCCATCATGGGGAAATCTTTGAGGCCTATGGCAGAAGCATGCTATTATTAAAAGAAACTTGATGTGGTCTTGTCTTGAAAAGAGCTGGTCTCAGTGTGGAAAATATATTTGCAAGTGATTGATTTGGCAAAAGAAAGAAACATTCTGAATTATTTATGAATGTTATTTGATGGTCTCTAAGCCTGAGTCATGAATCTACCCACAACATCAGCCAGTCTCTTGCTCATTTATAGTGACAAGTCTAACAAAAGAGCACTTATTCCTGAGAGCCATACAATGAGGATGTTAGTATAAGAATGACCAGCACCACTTGACTTGGGAACTACACTGATGTCTTTCTACTGCATTGGATTTTAAATTATAGACAACCAGAAACAATATATTAATAAGAATATCTAGCACTCAAAGATCTCAAAGCACTTTACCCAGATAAAAAACTGAGCTAAGAAAGATGAAGTATCTTGCTCTAGGGCAGGGTTACTCAACTTTGAAAGCCCCGCGGGCCACAATAATACTCATAGCACATGCCGAGGTCTACAACTTAAGTGTGGTTGCATATACATGCAAATATATATGCAAATATATGCAAATAGCCTCTTTCACACTGACGGGCATGAATACAAAGATTAAGGCAAGACTACACAACACACAGGCCCCATTTAAGTCAGTTCTGCTGGTATTAATAAAATGCAATATTTACCCAATTTCCACCCATCTGACAGCACTTTTAATGAGCAATGACAGTCAGGAATTTAACTTCTAAAATGCATATTAACAGAACACCGTTATAGTGGCTACTTCTTTGTTTTGGCTTCCACCTGTGGGCCGCGTGTTGAGCCACACAGAAATCCAAATCACACCATGGGCTGCAAACAAGCGGGCTGTAGGCCACATGCAGCCCCTGGGCCACATATCGAGTAGCCCTGCTCTGGGGCATACAGTGAGCCCATGTTAGAGGTAGGACTGGAACCCACATCTGATATCTAGCCCCCTGGCTCTAACTCAGAGGTGGGCAATAATTTTTGATGGGGGGGCACGCCAAGAATTTGGTAAGTGGTTGAGGGCTGCACTCTTCCATTACATTCATGGAAGAGGTATGGGGGTCTGGGATGGAAGTTGGGTATAAAAGGGAGCTTACGGGAAGAGATTAAAGTGTGGGATCTCGGAGGGAGATTTGGTGAGGGGGAGGATTGTGACCTGGGGCAGTGAACTGGGGTGCAGGAGAGAGTGCAAGGTCTGTGAGGGGAGTGTGACCTAGGGTAGGGGTGCAGGGAATTGGGTTGTGACCTAGGACAGGGGATTGGAGTGCAGGGTCTGGGAGGGATATGACCTGGGGGAGAGGTGTAGGAGGAAGGAGTGCAGGATCTGGGAGGGAGCTGTGACCCGGGGCAGGAGTGCAGGAGGGGGTGCAGGGAATTGGGTTGTGACCAGGGTCTGGTGACTTGAGGAGGGATGTAGGAGGGGGTGCAGGGTCTGGGAAGGTGTATGGGGGCTGTGAGTGGATGAGGGAGAGAGGGGCACTTCACGTGCTTCCTGCCCTGCAAACAGGCAGCTGTTACTAGCCAGAAAGCAGCCAATGGGACCTACTGGGGGTGGGGGCAGAGTGAGAAACCTCTCCCCCTCTCCCCCAGGCTCTCAGTATTCAGACACGCACACACTGCCCTGCAGCCAGCTTTATGGAGTGCAGAGTGGGGGCGGGGCAGGCAAGGAGCAGGCTGGGGCTCTCGTGGGCCGGCTCCAGTCGGTTGGTGGGCCAGATCCAGCCCGCAAACCATCTTTTGCCTACCCCCATTCTAACCAGTAGATGACATTGTCGTGTCTTTAGACAGAGTTAGAAATACGACCTGTGTTTTCTAAACTTGCTACGAGCCACTTCAGGCTAGCGGAAGATGGAGAAAGAGGGTTGAAGAGACTCTCAGTGCACAGTATCAAATGCCAAAGTCCCAATTATGCAAACACTGTGTTTGTTAATGTTAAGCACATTAGTTCAATGATCTTCAATGAAACTACTCACATGCTTAATGTTAAGCACATACACGAATCTTTGCAAAATCAGAGCCTTAATGACACTTCATTCCTTTCTAGTTTTCTGGTAATGCACATTATTAATATTCATAAGAGTCTATGCTGGACACTTTTATTTGAATAGATACATGTCCATTGCAGTCACTCTTCGCCTTTCCTTACTTAGACACGTTGATCTAACTTGACAGAAGTTCTGTAGTAAAAACAACATGTTGCTTTGAATTTCTGATCTATTTATATTGTGGAGGGAAGGGGTAAGAAAGGGAGGAGCGAGAGAGGAGGATTGCAAAGCCCACAAAAGAGATTTGATTTGTTCTTAATGCTTCTTCTAAATATAATCTAGATTTGCCTTATCACCAGTCCTCCAGTGCTGTATTATCAATTAAATGACTTATTACTGCATTTTCATGTGCATTAATTGTTGATCAGATAATTAAACATGAAGGCTGGCTAGTGAAAAATGGAGCCTGCCCTAATTAGAGACCTAGCTGGTGGCAATTATAATGAAATAAAATAACAAACAATGTGACATAAGGAGCCAACGCTTTCTCTTATTTACATCTGTTACTCACTGATGTAAAATTATTCCAGATATACACCAGTGTAATAGACATAAGAATGACCCATTGTGGACTAGATTCTCAATTGGTGAATATTGGCATAGCTCCATTGAAGTCACAGAATCATAGAACTGGAAGGGACCTTGAAAGGTCATCAAGTCCTGTTCCCTGAACACTTTGCAGGTCCAAGCACCATCTAGACCATTCTTGTCAGGTTTTTCTCTAACCTGCTCTTAAAAATCTCCAATGATGGAGATTCCACAACCTCCCTAGGCAAATTTTGTCCAGTGCTTAATTATCCTGATTGTTAGGGAGTTTTTCCTAATGTCCAACCTAAACCTCCCTTGCTGCGATTTAACCTCCTTGCTTCTTGACCAATCATCAGAGGTTAAGAAGAACAATTTTCCTCTCTCCTGCTTGTAACAATATTTTATGTTCTTAACATGTCCCCTAAATCTTCTCTTTTCCATAATAAACAAACCCAAGTTTTGGGATGATTTAGTTGGATTGGTTCTGCTTTGGGCAGGGAGTTGGACTCGATGACCAGCCCTATGAGTCTAAGTTGTTCAATCTACCCTCACAGGTCTTTAATAATAATAATTTCTGTTGCTCTTCTCTGTACTTTCTCCAAGTCGTCCAGTCTTTCCTGAAATGTGGCACCCAGAACTCCAGCTGGAATCTAATAAGTATAGAGTAGGGCAGAAGAATTATTTCTCATGTCCTGCTTACAACACTCCAGCTGACATCCCGGAATGATGTTTGGGGTTTTTTCTGCAACAGTGTTACACTGTTGACCCATATTTTTAGCATCCTGTCCGCGATCACCCCCAGTTCCCTTTTCACAGTTCTCCTTCCTAGCAGTCATTTCACATTTTGTATGTGTGCAACTGACTGTTCCTAAGTGGAGTACTTTGCATTTGTCCTTGTTGAATTTCATCCTAATTACATCAGATGATTTCCCAGTTTTCCCTGAGCATTTTGAATTTTAATCCCATCCTCCAAAACACTTGCAACTTCTCCCAACTTGGTACAGTCCACATGCTGGGTCATCCTTACCCATACGCAGAATACGCAGCTATGTAGGGAATCCGAAAATTTGAGGCACCACTGGGTCTTAATATCCATTCACCCATCTCTTGCTATCCCTGTTCCTCTCCTCTGCTTCCTCTGGAAAGGATCTTGTTAAAAAGTGACAAAGCCTGCCAGACCTATGAGCAAAACACTGAACCTCTAAAAGAGTCATTCAAGCAGTAATGAAGCCATTTAACAGGTGTTTCAAAACCCAGGTATAAACTCTGAGTATCTGAATTCACTGGGTTACTTCACAGGACATTAGTTTAAAAATTGTTTTTAAAAGAGCTTTGTCCACAAAAGCTCATGCTCAAATAAATCTGCTAGTCTTTAAGGTGCCACAGGACTCCTCGTGGTTTTTTCAGATCCAGACTATCATGGCTACCCCTCTGATACAGTGCCTTCTAATACCACCCGAGGTATTTACCAAATCTGGAGGGTGGGAGGAAGTGCCTCCACTGAATTACGTACACCACATTAGCAGCAGCTCAAGGATTTGCTCAAAAGAATCCCATCCTTCTACCAACCAGGCCCAGCTATAATTAATAAAGGCTGTCACAAGCACAATCCAATGTGTATGGGCAGCAAGTATAATATGTGGGGAAAGGCAATGCCTTCTAGACAGCCAGGCATGAGCCTGTCCATACTCCACCCCCAGATCACCTACTGCTGGGAGCCATGCTGAAACGGTAGATCTTCTTGGGGCGAAATGTTGCTGCCCCCAACTGTGGGGCAGGGCCTCAGGAAGAAGGAGTGGGGCTGGGACCTTGCCTCCTTCAGCCCTATAGTCACGGGATACCCATGCAGACTATCAAAGCAGCAGCCCATATCTGTTGAATCAGACAGCACTTGAAATACTAGGATGCAAAAGAATTGAAAACAAGACAGTTGCCTTGCACTATTTTTTCATCCTAGAGACAGTATGTGGAACAACTTACACAGTGGCTAAAGGGAACAAATGATATAATTAGATATGTTAATTACTGAGTCAGAAAGATTTTGGAGATCTGTGCAACAGAGACATTAGCTAATTTAAAGTTCACTTTATCGTTCCTTAGTATGAAAGCCCTTTGAAACCTCAGCCCCTCCAATGACTTCTGTCTTATCACTATGCAAATGACGACTTGCATGTTGTCTTCTCCAGGCGGGCCCTGGAAAACAGTTCTTTGTGAAGTATCAAATACGAGAGAGCTCTTGTGCTGTTGGAGGAGATAAACTCTGGCAAGATTGTGATTACAGAGCATCTGCAGAAGCGGTAAGTGGCTGCCTTCTTTAAAAAATTCCATAGCTGGGTAGCAGCGTAACCAGCAAGATAGCACACTCCTGGGGATAGAGTGCACTTCTGCTGTCAGTGAAAACGGTACTGGAGGGTTTCATATTTATTGAGTCTTAGTGGAGCTGCAGAGGAAGTGCTCTGTTTACAAGTAAAATGATGCAACCTGGTTTTCCTCTCACTCCTAACTAAAGGGAAAAAATTATGTAGCACTTTAAAGACTAACAAGATAGTTGTTGGTCTTTAAAGTGCTACCTATTTGTTTTCCCTTTTGTTTGATCAAGATCAGACTAACATGGCTACCTCTCTATTACATTTTATTCCTAACTGGCAGCTATACAAACCCAACCTGATATCGTATAGTCAAGTGAGGCAATTCCTTCCTGAATGCTACCACAGCAATTAAGCTCCAGCAGGCCAAGTTATGCCCTCATTGACAACGGTACAACCCATGTGGCTCTCAGTGGATTACACGGGCAGAGTCGTCCTCTCCAAAGGTCGGTTCGGGGTGGCCATCCCAGGCCTCATGCTTTTGAGGTCCCTGCAGCAACTGCCCCAATCATCCTGTGGATGGGACCCAACGGATTACATGGAGCCAGGGTGCCCCCTGCACTCACTGCGGTGGCAGGATCTGGAGCAGCCCAACTGCCTGCTCTAGTCTGCCTCACCATCTTCTCCCAGCCCTCTGTGCTCAGCTTCTCAAATGGCAAAGCATCCTGGCCCCAAGGTGCTCTGTTTCTTGCTGGCATGGAGAAGTGGGGCATAGCATGCTGGGAGGGCAGCATGGCGGGGTGGATCAGATTGCTGGGCTGCTTTGCCTCCCAATGCTGTGGTAGAGGGGCAACCCCTGCTGCTACCGCACCAGATCCCATTGATCCCCTGGCTTAGGGCAAGGGGCAGGGCTTGGGGAAGGGGTGGAGCGGAGGCAGGGTCTGCAGTGGCAGGATGGGGGTTGCCCTGAGCCCCTCATGTTGGGCACAAGGTAGAGAGCTGCTGAAGGCCCTGCACCTCCGTTGGGATGGCCCTGTGCACAGATGTAAATTCAGTTCGTATTCCTTTTGTCCACTAAACATTAGTTACGCTTCCCAATTGTGTTTTATTATTGCAACAAACTACCACAAGAGTATTTCACAGCAACAAGTATGGTGCTAACTGCATTTCTGCATCAAGTGGCTTAAAGACAAACGGTGACATCTCTGTTTGTAGGAATCTGGCGAATGTACAGCTCAAGTTTACGTTGACAAGACCGAGAATATAAGTAATGTTACACAAGAATGCAAAATAATCTCAGGTATGTTACTTCTCAGAGGGGCATCATATAATTGGATTGAATAAAAAAGGAAAAACTTCAAATTGCAAAAGAACTCTGTGGAGACTATGAGGTAATTTTACATTAATATTCTTATCAATAAACTAGGTAAATACAACTTAGATGGGGCTACTATAAGGTGGGTGCATAACTGGCTGGATAACCATACTCAGAGAGTAGTTATTAATGGTTCACAATCCTGCTGGAAAGTCATAACAAGTGGGGTTCCGCAGGGGTCTGTTTTGGGACCAGCTCTGTTCAATATCTTCATCAACAATTTAGATATTGGTATAGAAAGTACACTTATTAAGTCTGCAGATGATACCAAGCTGGGAGGGGTTGCGACTAATCTGGAGGATAGGGTCATAATTCAAAATGACCTGGACAAATTGGAGAAATGGTCTGAAGTAAATAGGATGAAGTTTAATAAAGACAAATGCAAAGTGCTCCACTTAGGAAGGAACAATCAGCTTCATACATACAGAATGGGAAGCGACTGTCTGGGAACGAGTACGGTAAAAACGGATCTAGGGGTTATAGTGGACCACAAGTTGAATATGAGTCAGCAGTGTGATGCCGTTGAAAAGAAAGCAAACATGATTCTGGGATGCATTAACAGGTGTGTTGTGAGCAAGACACGAGAAGTCATTCTTCTGCTCTACTCTGTGCTGATTAGGCCTCAGTTGGAGTCTCCTCAAGATGTGGAGAAATTGGAGAGGGTCCAGAGAAGAGCAATGAGAATGATTAAAGGTCTAGAGAACATGACCTATGAGGGAAGGCTGAAGGAACTAGGTTTGTTTAGTTTAGAAAAGAGAAGAGTGAGGGGGGACATGATAGCAGTTTTCAGGTATCTAAAAGGGTGTCATAAGGAGGAGGGAGAAAACTTGTTCATCTTGGCCTCTGGGGATAGAACAAGAAGCAATGGACTTAAACTGCAGCAAGGGAGGTTTAGGTTGGACATTAGGAAAAAGTTCCTAACTGTCAGGGTAGTCAAACACTGGAATAAATTGCCCAGGGAGGTTGTGGAATCTCCATCTGTGGGGATATTTAAGAGTAGGTTAGATAAATGTCTATCAGGGATGGTCTAGACAGTATTTGGTCCTGCCATGAGGGCAGGGGACTGGACTCGATGACCTCTCGAGGTCCTTTCCAGTCCTAGTATTCTATGATTCTATGATTGTTTGCTCTGTTGCTGTATCTAACCTACTGGTCTCAGGAAATGAGACAAACAAGGTGGGTGGTGTAATACCTTTTCCTGGACCAACATCTGTTGATGGACAGGACAAAGCTTTTGAGCTCTTCTTCAGGTCTAAAGAAGGAACCAGAGTGACCCGACTAAATACCAGGTGGGACAGGTGTAAGAGATTCACACATTTTACAGGAGACCACTTTAAAATGAATGAAACAATACCTCTGCAGTTACAGGGTAATGGAAGGTTAGGCGGTACAGAGCGTGTTGCAAATTGTAATAGGGCATAAAACCAGCGTCTCTGTTAAGTCCAAGCTGTTAATGTCCAACAGAGTGATGAATTTAACTTCTCGGGCTCAGTTTTTGAAGGTGTTGTGCAGATTTCCTTTGAGAATACAAACTGATAGATCAGCTGCGGAGTAACTGCTTTGTGAAAAATGTTCACATTCTGAGTGATATGGATTTTTGTTTTCTTATCATTTTTCTGTGTGGGTTCATTCAAAAGCACAGTGATTATCTGGTTTCACCCACATTGTTGGTGTTGGGGAATTTGACATGCTGGAGGTGATACACCGCAGGCTATGATAAGCACATAGGAGATCTGTAGAATCACGGATCTTGAAAGGAGTGTTGTGAGTGTACCGACCAGCATTGCCATGGAGATATGTCTGTAGGGTTTCCATGCATTGTTCTAGAAGGGTCTGCTGCTGTCTTGAGCTGACTTGTCCTACTCTGTAGAGATCTTGCTTCTAAGGATGAGTTTGGTGAGGTGGGGGGTTGCTTGAAGGCCAGAAGAGGGGGTTCAGGAAAGATTCCTTTGAGGATTTGGTCCCCATCAAGTGTGGGTTGTAATTGATAACCCATACAAGTTCTAGTTTTGGGGTGATAGGTAACAAATGGAGGTGTGCAGTCGGTGGGTGGGTTTTTTTCAGTTCTCCCAAAGTATTTGGGTGGCCTATTCCATGAGGCAATCTACCTTTCTGGTGGAATGTCCTTGTTTAATGAAAGTGAGTTGAAGTGTGTTAGTGTATAACCTTAATTTTCTCTTAGGAGCATATTCTCTGCTTATCAGCAACAGAAGTTGTTCCAGGAAAAGATAGCCACTCATCTATTTTGCTTCTCAAGTAATTTTAAAGGGAGAAGGCAGAACCCAATATCATTCCATTCCTAACCTCAGAAATAATTTTCCCCAGGTTAAAAACACATTAAAAATGAAATGCCACTCCACTTTCTTATACGACCATGTGCTGTGCCAATGGAACCCTGTAAGTCTGCCATTAAAATACCTGTTATCATATAACGAAAACCAGCATCATGGGCAGCATTTGACTCCTGCATCTGGTGAGGCTGGACCTGAGTGCCAGAAGCTCCCTAAGGCTACGTTTACACTGTGGAGCTATTTTAGGTTATCGGAAATATCCCAAAATAGCTATTCCGCATCTATTGAAGCAGCCCGTGATTTCGAAATAGATTTTGAAACAACGGGAGGCTTATTCCGATGTCCCAGTAATTCTCATTCCACGAGGGTTAAGGGGCATTTCAAAATAAGTGATTTCAAAATTACCTCAAAATAAGCTACACAATTAGCATAGCACAAATTGTGTAGCTTATTTTGAGATAAGAATGCAGTGCAGATGCAACCTAGAAGTGTAGGAAGACACTGGTACTCTGACTATGGCCTCACCTTCTGCTCCACCTAATTGACCCCTCCCTTCAGGCTCTCCCATCCGCTATTCACACCTCTTAGCTTTGTGCCTCTCCGAAGGCCTCCTACCCTGGTGCTCACCCCTTTCCCCACTACGGGGCTCACCTGCCCATCCGTCTCGGCTTCTCTAGGGGCAAGGAAGCACGAGCAGCAGGTGGTGAGGCAGCAAGGAGGAGCCAAAGAGGCACAAGAGATGGGTGGGTGCAGGGAAGCAGAGGAGAAGCGCAAGCGAAAGGTGCCATGGGGAGAAGGTGGCAGAGGGACAGGAAGAGGAACCGTGTAGTTGGGGCAAAGAGCGGGGCGCAGAAGAGGAGCATGGGTGGCGCCATGGCCAGGGGACCCTTTCAGCAGCAGCACTCCAAAGACAGCAGACCAGCAGCGTGCCTCCAAAGAAAGGTGTGCTACATCCTCTCTGGGGAGGTTAACCTCAGGGTTCCCTGTAAGCTGAGCGCTTGGGTGGCCACCCAGGAGAGATTCAAATGCCACTCCGCTAATTTGCAGAGCACCCACAGCACCCAGAGCTGGTGCCATGTGTTTCTACTGGAGGTGCACATTTGCATATGCCTTGGTGCACATAAAAATTTATTTCACACATGGATGGAAAATATTACAGGAAATCTCTAGCCTCTCCTGGCCTCTTATACCTGCTGTTCATTACCAGTCTCTGCATGAAGAATATTTTTTAAACATTACAATTCGGCCAAATCACAATTGATTTCCACCAGATCAAGATACATCTGTGACCTATCAGCTGGACCTCCCCCAAATTATAAGTATTTATCTCCATCCCCTGAGGCACAGCCAATATTCAAATAAAGACAGCAAAAAGCTTTGCTATCTGCAAACATTTTGTTTCTTTTTTGCTATCTTTATATTAAAAAATGGATGAACCAGTTTTGCTGAAATTTAAGTCCCCCCTCCCTCCACCAATGACTCTTGTGCCTGAGGAAAAAAATTATTCCAAATAGTAAAAGTCTGACAGGATTACAATAATCTGAAAAAGCCCCTTTGGAATGGAAATATTTAAGCAACCTTAACAATAGTTGGTGACCCCAGCTCTGCTTGTAATCAGTGCATTCCCCCTATATGTGGTTACAAAATCCATGCATAAACTCCAGCATTAGAAGCAAGTTACAAGGACTGAAAACACCACAGCTGCGCTTTTTTCAGTGTCCACGTTTAAGTACCAACTAAATCACATTTTGGTACAGATCTATTTGTAGGGCAATGGTGACATCTAGTTGCCAGAAAGGATAATGTGCATTTCTTGGTTAACTCAAGAAAGGGATGCATTTGATTGCATTGTTTGAACAAAAAGCCTACATTTGAACTGACCGTAACAGCTGCACAGCATCAGAGGCACGGGTGCAGTTTTGCAAAAAGTGTAGATGTTTTCCACTGCCTGTGAAAAGAGCTAAAATTGTAGATAAGGCCACACTCACTTTTGAACGGGATGGGTGGGATGGTTTGTGCGTTCTGGTTTGTGAGTGCACACTGAAAATAGAGTCAGCTACACTGACAGAAAGTAGGAATAGGGCAATTACTTCCAGAAGACTTACCGCACTTTTATACCGGTGAGAGGAACATGTCCAGTGATGCCTAGAGGAAGAAGTAAACAATCAGGTCAGTCTGGTGAAGGATTTCACAGCTCTGTCTCTACTTAGTGAGTAATACACGGTTTGGCTTTCACCAGTGGAACTGTTCCATTTGTCCTTATGTAGATATTGGGCCAGATTCTTGGCTGGAGTAAATTGGCATCGCTCCCACCAGCTGAGGATCTGGCCCACCAATTTGACTTAAATGCCATCGAGATCTGATATCGTTTCACATTGATTCTCAAGGTCAGTGAATTACTAAATTAATTTATACACTGAACTATGAAATTAATTTATGAAAATCCAACCGGTGCTTACAAGACAGGAAGGAGAGTTAATAAGATTAGTGGCAGGGAACAGAATTCGGAGCCTCCTCCTTCCAGAGTGCCCATTCAAATCTAGCCCAGCTTGTGGTGCCTGAATGTTGATTTCACCTGGTGAGCACTTGGCAGCCATTGCGGGAGCAGTACAGACAATGCAGCTAAGAGTAGTTGCACCTACAATTGTAGGGGAGCTCCAAGTTATGTGGCCCACCTCCAAAGGTGCCAGCTGAAATGTTAATGTTGTGTTTTCCATTGCAGTATAGTGTGGAGCACAAACTGCTGCTCATTGGCTGTGAACTCTCTGGCAAAAACCACAAAACCCCTGGGGAATCTCCCTTTACTGCAGCCCGTGGCTGGGCTGATGGACGACTTCCTTCTTGCAAAGTTTCAAAGTTGCATGATATATTTTCACACTAAAGTAGAGAAGAACCTAAAATAAAACCTTCGATCCAAAGTCTCCTGGACTTGGTGGGTAAACGGTTTAGCATCTGTACTCAGATCTGGATGCAGATTTCAAAGGTGCCCCCTACAACTATACTGAACTGAGCCAAAAAGCCTGGTTCTGACCACCATGAATGTCCTAGCGGGAGGGCTGGACTCTGAATCTGTATTTTGGTGCTCCAGCTCTTTGCCAACGAAAAGGAGTGAGGATTCTTCCTCCTCCTCAAACTCTGTCTCTTGTTCACAAATCATTCTGGAGCTAAACAATCAAGGCTGTTTTACTAAGCAGAAAGCTGAATTTTTTAGTTTGTTTGTTTTTTTCATTAGAAGGAAAAGTGACTCTCTCTCGAGCTGAGTGTCTTGGATGCTATCATCCCATACCGGGAGACAGCCTGCAACTGTTACCCATCGTGAGATATGCGATTCGGATCTTTAACAATAAGAGTGACCATTCTTCCCTTTATGAAGTTGGTGAAATAATAAAAGCCACCCGGCAGGTTTGTATCTCTGTCTTTTTTTCCTTTATTTAATAAAAGAAGATACTTTGGTTATTTACGTCTATCTACCTGCAGTTAGTTCCATTTTACAGTAGTAAAATGTGTGATATAAAAATAATACTTAATTCTTACAAAAAGGTTTAAATGTCTGGTTTTCAGGGGGTTTATCACTGGCTTCTGAACTGCTACTGCATGTAGTTAGTTCATGTCTTCTGTTTCCATGTTCAACACTGGTACAGCTGCACACATCAGTGGGGAACTGACAGCCACACTAGGCACCAGGGTGGGGGAGCGCTGTGCTCCCGGAATGTGCAGGGTCTTGGGTAGAAAAGGTGAGGATGGGGTAGACAGCAGCCAGGAGTCCTGGGCCTTTTAGAATTGCTGGGTACTGGGGTAATTGCTCCCTTTGCCTCATCCCTTGCACCTCCTGGCGGCAGGCCTGCTCATCACCAACATATCTTGTCAGCAACTGAGAAAGTCTGTTGTTCAGAGAAGGCTAATGAAGGAAAAATAACAGGCCCAAACTGCCTGAGAGACAGGAATGGATTTTACATTTTGGTCTTCAGTGGGAATTTTGATTGTACAAGGAATGCACCTACAAGTCCCTCTAGTTCCATGCCAATTTGTGCTCCATGAAAAGGTTACCTAGCTGTGCCGGCGACTCAGCATAGGCATCAGTACGACACAGATCTAAGATGTGTTTCTGGTTTGATTTTAAGCTATGTATCCTTTCCCTATGCATATTTGTGTGAATTTATCTTTGTGTTCTTGCCCATGTCAGTTTGAGCATTTAACTTGCTCAAAACATCACAAGGCAAATCAACTGTATTAAGAAACCAATTTCCACCCTCTATTTCTTAATGCCAATGGTCACCTTAGCCACAAGACACCTGAGTCTATACGTTTCTCAATCCAATGGAGGCTACATTGGAGCAGCTGGAGAGGGCATTGCCACAGCACATTTGGTTTTCATGTCCGACTAGAATAAACTAGTCAAAAGATTTCACTGGGGTGGACTAGGAAGAAATACGATGTAGTCTTATGTTCATCCACCATCTCTATCACTTCTGCATATGGAGTCAATGGGATTGTGTCTGCTGCGATGCAGCAAAGATAAGGCTACTGTGCTCTTCCATGAGTTGGGAGCAGTGGCCAAAACCAATGAGCTACATCCTTGGACCAGGTCAGAGGACTGATTTTCCTCTCCACTTGCCATAAAGTCAGAGCACTTGGGATTCATGTGGATTAAGTACACTGCACCCTTGCAGCAGATATTATTGAAAGGTGCCATTTCACAAACAAGAAAGTGATGAAAACCCTGAACAAGACAGAAGTCAGAAAATGCCCAAGGCAAACACAATTCCATATAACAATAACTGCAACACACCTCGTAATAAATGACACCTACACGTCAAAGTTGCATTATGCTTTGTGCGATGCCTAGGAACATAGGAATTTACACACCAGAGCAGAGCAGAACCCTCTAGCCACATAGCCAGTACCAGATACTTCAAATGAAGATGTAGGAAACCCTGCACTGTGAGATGGGGACAGAGGGGGTTGGAATCTGAACCTGGAGCTGGTTACAAATTTCACAGCACATCTCTATGACTCAGTTTACCCAGCTGTAAAATGAGAATAACATTTTCCTGCTGCACTGGGTTGTTGTGTGGCTTAAGGGCAGCAGAGCAATTTGAAACGTTTGGATTGGAAGGCATTAGAGATGTGCAGAGTGTTATTATTATCTTGCACTTTATGTGGTGATTTTAATAATTTTTCTTTTAAATATATATTGAATTATCTCCTAAATATTTGTTCCAGGTGGTGGCTGGACTGAATTATGCATTTCAGTATGAAATCAAGGAGACTAATTGCTCCAAGGATTATTTTCCAGAGTTAAGACCTGAGTGCAAACCCATTCCTGGAGGTGTAAGTGATATTCACATACAGTTTATCAAAACAGCTTCTTATGTTGGTAATTAATTACTGAGATTCTGATTCAGCAAAGTACTTAAGCACCTGCCTAACTTAAGATATTTGTACACTGCAATAAAGCACCAGCGGCTGCTCCGTGTCAGCTGACTCTGGCTCATGAAGCTTGAGCTGAAGGCTATAAAAGTACAGCATAATTGTCCAGGTTCTGGCTGGGTCCCAGAGTCCAGGTGCCCCGCAAAGCCCAATGTCAATGCTGCAGTTGTATAGCCCTGCACGCAGTCTGAGACTACAGCTATACTTAAGGTTACCAGGTAGTCATAAAAAAATATACCGGACACACTTCATCAGGGGCGGCGGGAGGAGGCACCGGCCAGGAGGTGAGCAGGGCTGGCTGGGAGGAAGCGGGGGGGACCAGGAGAAAAGGGGGGCCAGGAGGCAGAGCTGACGGGGGGGGGGAGCGCACTTCATCAGGGGCGGCGGGAGGAGGCACCGGCCAGGAGGTGAGCAGGGCTGGCTGGGAGGAAGCGGGGGGGACCAGGAGAAAGGGGGGGCAAGGAGGCAGAGCTGGCGGGGAGGGGCAGCGGGGCTGGCCAGGGGAGATGGGGAGCTGACGGGAAACAGGACTGGTTGGGGGGAGGGGTTGGGCGGAGTGGGGCTGGCCGGGAGATATCGGGGGGAAGGGGGCTGGTGGGAGTGAGGCTGGCTGGGGGAGATCAGGAGGAGTAGGGGAGAACTGGCCACCGGAAGCAGAGCTGCCGGGGGGTGCCGCGGGCTTATCGGGAAAGATCCGGAGCAGGAACCAGCTGGCGGGAGGCAGAGCTGGCAGCGGGGGTTGGGTGCAGGGGGGCTGGCTGTAGAAGATCGCGAGGAGAAGTGGGGGAGAACCAACCGGCCGACCGGAGGGGAAGCAAATCGACAGCGGGGAGTGGGACTGACTTGGGCACACGTAGATCCCAAGGCGCTCCTGTCCTGCATAGGGTCCAGGTGAAGCGCGAGTCAATCCGGCTGCGGTTCCACCACGCGCTTGACCAGCATGCAGGATCACGGACCAGGCTGCCCCTCCTCCTCACATGCAACCAGGGTTCTCCCAGCCACTCTCCCCGCCCCCACCAGGCTTCCGTCCAGGGCCCAGATGGAAAACAGAAAATACCAGACATTGCACATGTCCGGTATTTTCTGGATTTTTTTTTTACCAGACAGAGGCCCCAAAAAACAGACTGTCTAGTAGAAAACCAGACACCTGGCAACTCTAACTACACTACAACAGGTTGACGTAAGCTATGTAACTCCAGTTACGTAAATAATGTAGAGTGACAAAGCTATGTAAATTTGGTGGGTCCTGTGCTTCCTGGCAGATTTGCTTGCCTCAGAGGCTCACAGCAGCCCACAATTTTAGGCACCATGCCTAGGGCATTAGTTTGCTGTTCGTTGAGCTCTTTTCATCATTGGCCAGCATATGGTAAAAGTGGAGAATAAACTCCCTGGACCTCTTCCCCAAGTAGAAATGTAGAGCTGGGTGTGGGAGGAACCCAGGCCCACTCTCTACTCCAGGTTCCAACCCAGGGCCCTATTACAGTAGCTACCTACTTGAGTCCCCAGCACCAGCCATAAGACAGCTCCAAGACCCCTGGGGTACTTCCCCACACCTTCTTCAGCACCTTCCTTCCCTGCAGTTCGTCCACTTTGGCTACGACTAGACTGCTTTCTTCGGCTGAAAGAAGATATGCAAATTTGGAGCTAATTTGCATATCTTCTTCCAATCGCGTTATCAGAAGAGATTTTGTTGATTATTTGCACTGCAGTCTGGGAAAACTACAAAGGATATGATAAATTAATGCACATACTCCATAAGTTACCAACTTCCTTGGCTAACATCTTTCAGGAGAATGGCTGAAACATCCATTCTTTTTCTCCCCAACTGCTGCTAATGGAGGAAAAAATTGTCTTGTAGATGGAAATGACCATGCTACCAAAACCCACTTTTACTGCATCAAAAACTACAGCTACGCCTACACTGCAGATATTTGTCGGCAGAAAGTATGTATTAGCATTTGTCATGCTGTCATTTGCATATCTCTGCTGATGCTTTTTGTGCAAGCAGTATAGACGGGTCTGTTTTGTGCAAAAAAACCCTTTTGTGCAAGATCCCTTCTGCCTCAAAAAAGGAGATATAAGGCTCTTGCACAAAAGGGGGGTTTTGTGCAAAATGGACCTGTCTACACTGCTTGTTTTTGCGCATAAAACCTCTTGTGCAAAAAGCATCAGCAGAGATATGCAAATGACAGCGCGACAAATGCTAATGAGTGCTTCATTAGCATACTCTTTGCCGACAAATAGGCTACATCTACACTGCAGGTATCTGTTACAAACAGTTCTCTGCAGAATACCGCTCCTGTGCTCATGGGTACCTTGAGAATGCTACCCAATTTCAGAAGTGTTGATGGAAATTATAAGAAATGATTGCCTAGTGTAATGGACTGAAAGAAGAACAGGGCAGGGTCAGACTATCTGGATTCAATTTCAGGTTCTGACACCGACTTGCTCTTTAACATTCAACAAGTCACTTAATCTATTTGGCCTCAGTTTCCCCTCTGTCAAATGGAATATCTGCCAATGTTACGTGTATTCAGGAGGGCTACCAGTAATGGCATGTACAATTGAACTGCATATAGCTAGTAAGATTGGGCCTTAGCCATACAATACCTGAACCACTGGACTTACTAGCTGCCCGTTGGCAGGGATTAGCAGGATAAGGAGGTCCCTTAGCACATTTCTGCTTGTTGTACCCTCCCACTGGTACTTCTGAAATCTATCTAATGTTTCAAGATTTACTAGTGTGTGCCCTGGAAATTGCTCACAGCACTACTGGAGAGACTGGCCACCCTTTGGGGTATGTCTACAGTTCAGTGTAAACCCTCCGTTTGAACTCCAGCTCCAGCCTAACTCCCCTTCTGTCTGCCCACAAACTGCACTGCCCCAGGGCTCGGACCCAGGCTCCCAGAACCCCACAGGGTTGCGTCTACACAGCAAGGCAAGAGGGCTTGAATCCTCAGTTCTGGCTTGACTCACGCTCAGACACTCCACTCCTGGGGGGTCCTGGGTATGAGTCCTGGGTTAACACAAGGGTCTGATTCAGTAGGTATAAGGAAGGGTTGGGAATCCTTTTTTGAGTCAGGGGGCCACTGACCCACAAAAAAATCAGCCGGGAGCTGCACACAAGTGAGGGGGGAAAAACCCAACCCCCCCTTACTGATGCAGTGTCCAACTGAGAAGCAGAAAGACACTCCTCATATTCCCCTCACACACAAGAGCCTAGGGGGACCCAGCCTAGAAGATTTCATGTGCTCCAGCCCCATAGTGGGGCAACAGGGAGCCTGGAGCATCAGTGCTGGCTCCCCAATGCTGGGCGAGGGCCCTGAATCTGGGGGGCCAGATCTAGTCAAGCCTGGGGCTGCATCCGGTCCTTGGGCCTCAGGTTCCCCTCCACCCCCAGTATAAAGCATTCTAACCTTCCATTCAAGTCAAAAGGAGTCAAGGGAGTTGTTTAGAACCTTGCAGGTCCAACTTGAAATGGGTCCCATTAATCTTTTATCAATACTCCTCAGTTGGAATATTGTGTCCAGTTCTGGGCACCGCATTTCAAGAAAGATGTGGAGAAATTAGAGAGGGTCTAGAGAAGAGCAACAAGAATGATTAAAGGTCTAGAGAACATGACATATGAAAGAAGGCTGAAAGAATTGGGTTTGTTTAGTTTAGAAAAGAGAAGATAGAGGGGGAGACATGATAGCAGTTTTCAGGTATCTAAAAGGGTGTCATAAGGAGGAGGGAGAAAACTTATTTTATCCTGGCCTCTGAAGGTAGAACAAGAAGCAATGGGCTTAAAATGCAGCAAGGGAGGTTTAGGTTGGACATTAGGAAAAACTTCCTAACTGTCAGGGTGGTCAAACACTGGAATAAATTGCCCAGGGAGGTTGTGGAATCCCCATCTCTGGAGATATTTAAGAGTAGGTCTACCAGGGATGGTCTAGACAGTATTTGGTTCTGCCATGAGTGCAGGGGACTGGACTCAATGACCTCTCGAGGTCCCTTCCAGTCCTAGTATTCTATGATTCTATCTATGTATAAAGGGCTCTTACATAAGAACATAATTAAATTAACAGGTAGGAGGTTTAAAACAAACAAATGGAAGTTATTCTTTACTCAGCGCATAGTCAATCTGTGGAATTTCTTGCCAGAGGATGTTGTGAAGACCAGGACTTTAACAGTGTTCAAAAAAGAACTAAATAAATTCATGGAGGATAGGTCCATCAATACTTATTAGCCAGGACGGGTAGGAATGGGGTCCTTAGCCTCTGTTTGTCAGAGGCTGGAAATGGATGACAGAAGAGGGATAACTTGATGATTCCCTGTTCTATTCATGCCCGAGGGGGCCTCTGGAATTGGCCACTGAGGAAAGACAGGATACTGGGCTAGATGGACCTTTGGTCCAACCCAATATGACCATTGTTATATTTCTAAAGGGACTGTGGGAGTTTTTGGTTGGCCAGCTCCCAGTACCAAAAGGGGAAGGGTCCATGAGAAATCAGGGCCCTGAGACTGACAGAGCCCAGGGACAATGGGAAGAGGCCAACACTCCAGCTCAGCCTGACTGACAGGTTGGACAGATCAATGAGAGAATTAGAAGGCCCCGTCCTCCATGTGAGCTGGGATTTTCTGGGTCTCTGTGAGAAAAGGAGAGGGAGCTGAGAAGAGCAGCAGGAAAAGCAAGGTGTGTGGAGAGACAGACCTGCAGTGTCAGAGCCAGGCACACACAGCCCAAGGAGTGCAGACCCTGTGCTGAGCAGCAGACCTGCAGTGACCAGAGAGCCAAAGGGGTCAGAGAAGCAACACAAGGAGATGGAGTCTGACAAAGCAGCACAGTCTGCAGTTGGGTGAGGTGAGCCCCTGGGACCGGCAAAGGGGGAAAAAAGGCTCTGGGCAGGGATAGGCCACCAGCTAAGAGGCCCTGCAGGCCAGACTTGGAGAGGAATTGTAACTCCAACTGGGAGAGGGGTCCTGCCACCTAGAGCCTGAGGCCGTGTGGTCACTGCCAGAGCAAGCGTGTCCAACCTGCAGCGCCCCTGCAACAGAGCCAGTCCTGAGAAAGAGCCCTGGGACCTAACAGGAACAGACTGTGAACTGTCCTTACACTCTGCAGACTGCTGTTTGTGATGCCCCCATGCTACAGAGCAGGACTGTGTGTTCTCATTTAACCTTTCTCGTTTCTCATTCTTTTCTTTTTAATCAGTTGTTGTTTAATAAATTGCATTTGCTTTGAACTGTATGAAATGATCACTGGGTCAAGAAAGCATGCAGTGTGCAGAGAGCACCCCGGAGTGGGGACACCCTAGCTCCTACCCCAAGTGACTACAAGGTTGGGGATTAAGCCCCAGAAAACCGAGGACTCTGCTATACAGGGAGTGGAAGGGGAGCCCTCAGAGTCAGGGAGGCCTTTGGGTAAAAGAAGTGGGAGCGGGGACTCAGATCCTTTCTCTGGTCCATTTCACCAGGGTAGTATAGATGCCAGGAAAGTTCCCCACAATTGCGGGACCATTTCTCCGCTTACATGTTCTTAAGTAGACCTCTCATCTCCCTCTGCATGACCCAGTGTTCGATTGCTATGAAGGAGGGCATCAGGACATTTGCAGATATGCTTATTGATTATTTCTAAGAGAAAGTAAAAAGGTTTTTTTCCCCCAACCCAGCATAGGGGTCGCTGTGAAGCCAAGGCCTATGTGGATCTTAGTAACACAATTGCAGATGTTGCACAGAAATGCCAGTTTATAGGTATGTGACAATCATGTGTCGGATGAAAACAGTTAATGGTTTACTACAATTACAAATTGATGTACAATACAAGGACTTAAAAAAAATCATGGGCGGGGGGGAAGCTATTCTGCTAACAAAGCAAAACAATAAGGCCTCTCCTCCCACTCCTTACTATGGAATATTAATAGATAATTGTCTTATTTCCTGCTAAGTACTGAAAATCCAGGGGGAAATTCTCTTCTCTGATAATTGCATTGCCATAATTCTATGATAAGACAAATGGGCTGCTGAAACCTGAATGGGGTCTGCATGTTAAGCACAAGGGCAATCCCTCCATGAAGATCAGCAGGCAACTCAGGGATTATAATTGTCCCACTAAACTTTATTTTATTTGTATGTATTTATTTCCAGAGGCTACATTGGCTCATCTAGATATTTGCCTAATTTTACAAGCTACATCAAAACCACTGCTGTAGTGGGTACAAACTAAAATTTTACACATTAACTTGTTTACACTGCTCTATGTACTATGCACTGAAATGTAAATACAATATTTCTATTCCAATTAAATGGTAAAAATGAGAAAGTCAGCAATTTTCAGTAATAGCTTGCTGTGACGCTTGTATTTTTATGTCTGATTTGATAAGCAAGTTGGTTTTTAAGTGAGATGAAACTGGAGTACGCAAGACAAATCAGACTCCTGCCAGATGTGTAGTAGTCTAGAAAGGCTGAGAACTACTGATTTAAAAAACATTCACACAGATACAGATATAAGGGGGAAAAAAGTCATAGAGGGACAGCTCCTTGAACATGCGTAAATATACTCCACATTCACAACTTGCTTTTGTATGTGCATCACCTCCTTAGATTGAAGAGCCATAGCCATTTAGACCAATGTTCTCAGAGCCTGTCAATTGGACTCAAGAATTCATCTAGAGCAGAGGAAGGCTAACAACAGGTTGTGGACCTCATCCAGCCCATCATCTGTTTTAATTCAGCCCTCAAGCTCCCTCTGGGAAGCAAGGTCTGGGGTTTGCCTTGTTCCATGCGTGCCATGACTCTGCGGAGCTCCTAGAAGCATGTCCCGCCTTCCAGTTCCTACATTTAAGGGAAACCAGAGGGTTCTGCAGACTGCCCCTGTCCCAAGGAACTGTGGCCAATGGGAGCTGCAGGGGCAGTACTTGCAGACGGGGGGCAGGGGGAGAGGGGGCAGCACATAGAGCTGCTTGGCCACACCACCATGTAGGAATCCACAGGAAGGAGGACTTGCCCCTGCTTCTGGGAGCTGCTTGAGTTAAGCACAGCCCAGAATCTGCACCCCTGAGGTCCCTCTCCACTCCAACCCACTGATGCAATCCTGAACCCATTCTTGCTCTCTGAACCCCTCTGTCCCATCCAGAATACCCTTCTGCACCCCCAAACTCCTCATCCCCAGCCTCAACCCTAGCCCGCACACCTAGCCAGAGCCCTCAGCCCTTCCCGCACCCCAACCCTAATTTTGTGAGCATGGCTCTCCATACAATTTCCATACTATGGTGTAGCCCTTGGGCCAAAAGGTTTGCCTACCCATGATCTAGTGGTATCGCTGTTTTTATTTCACGTTACATCACTGTCATCATTCTACCCTCACATTTAACAATCTCAGAGACGAAGGGAGCCTCCTCTTTCCTCTAGTCCAGCCCATCACGTAAGTGCAGCTGTTTCCTCTATAACAGCCACTTTCCACCTTCCATTTGTACTCTCATTTCTACGAGGAGCATAGTATTGATCAAACGCGCTCTTTGCCCCCAGGCATCTAAATTCTTCTTTTTTCTGAGCACATCATTAATATGACAACACAGACATCTACCAAAGCAAGCCTCAAAATACTCTGGGTCCCACCTACAAGGCTCAAATCCAGGCAGTCCTGACAAATACATTTCTACCTCAGTAGTTCATCCAAAACCAATGCAAACTGAATCTTTTGTTCCTTCAATTTACTTGAACCCTGGTGTTTCTTTCAGTTGATGAAACTGTACCTCCTCGCATTACCGTTTGTCGTGGCTGTCCAAAACCCATCCCAGCTGACAGTGTAGAATTGGAGGAACCGCTGAGTGCTTCCGTGGAGAAGTATAATGAAGAGAGCAATGATGACTTCTATTATAAAGCTGAAGAAATATCATCTGCCACAGTGCAGGTTAGGTTTCTTCTTTCCCTTTCGTGGTCAGTTTTATTTAAAATCACTTCTTCGTATTTTGTAGAGATGGGCCAAGATGGTGTGATGGCAGGGGTCAGGGCTGAATCAGGGTTAAGATTTGGATTTGGGTTTGATATCTTGGGAGCTGGTCTTTCTGCCCCAGAGTTTATACCACTTTGATCACCTGGGTAGCTGAAAGCACATTCTTGTAAATTTCAGACTTCCAAAAGTATTTTAAAACAAACAAAAAAACCCTCCTTCAACATTATTTTTTGTCTGACCTGGACCCAAAATAATAGGGCAAGATTCAGTTTCAGGACTCTGATGTTTGTTACACCCTCTTCTTTACCAAGTCTTTTGGCATCATTTCATACAACATCAGAATAGAAAAAATCTAGGAGTAAGAAAATCTAGTCCATCCTCCAGGTCAGCATTGTCTATCCTACAGCAGTTTTAAAAATCCCAAACAACGGAGTGTACACTATTTTCTTTGGGAATCTGTAATTTACATGCTGAATAACACTCCAGAGTAATTCCACTCAGACTCGGTGAAATTACTCCTGATTTACACCACTGTAGCTCAGAGTAGAATTTGGTCCCCTGAATTTTATTTGTCTATAAAGCATCATTCCTAATTACATAAATAAATAACCATTCCACAGTCTACCAGATCTTCCTATCCATAAAGAGTTAATAATTGACTTAAAATTTCCTTTACTTTATCTCATCTCCTTATTTCTGAATACATAACCCCCATGACCATTCAGATCATTTATTTCCTTCCTTCTGTTTATACGCACACATATTTTAGGTAGCCATCATTTCAGTAGAAAGAACTGCATTATTGGGTACTCGCTACTGAAACTTGAAGTTGGCAAATACTGCTTTGTCCATGGGAGGATATAATTAGAATCCTTACTGATGATTATCATTTTCAACGTAAAAGTAGCCACATAATTAGGAAAAGTGGAAGTTAGTTTATACATGGTATATTATTAAAACACAGCAATCTTCCCCTTCTCTGCTTCACCAAAAGTATCAGCTTCAACACGCTGATTGTTTGCCTCTTGCCCTGATTGTTTGCCTCTTCTATATGGCCCCCAAGACATCAGCTAGTCTGAAAGGGCTCTACTCACTCTCTCCTCATTGACATGCTTCTGTATTGATTTGTTCCAGCCTCACCAAAGTAATTTACCTCAGTAGGTTCTGGATCAGGCCCCAAGACTCACTTCTCCTATAAAGCCAGAAAAAAATAGGCAATAGATGTGTTATATAATATGACAATATTAAATATCAGAGGGGTAGCCGTGTTAGTCTGAATCTGCAAAAGCGACGAGGAGTCCTGTGGCACCTTATAGACTAACTGAAGTGTAGGAGCATACGCTTTCGTGGGCAAAGACCCACTTCGTCAGATGCATGTAGTGGAAATTTCCAGAGGCAGGTATAAATATGCAGGCCAAGATCAGGCTGGAGATGACGAGGTGGATCCAATCAAGGAGGATGACGAAGTGGGTCTTTGCCCACAAAAGCTTATGCTCCTACACTTCAGTTAGTCTATAAGGTGCCACAGGACTCCTCGACAATATTAAAAACACTTCTAGCCTACCCTAGCAGGAGCTAGCCTCAGAATAATCCAAATTATCTTGTTGATTTTACCTGTGCTTCCTTCTTTAACTCTGTCCCTATTGTCTAGAAACCCCCTAGTTATATCATGAGTGAAATTACTACAGGCTGAACCTCTCTAGTCTAGCACCCTCAGGACTTGACTAGGCTGAACCAAAGAATTTGAAAAAAAAAAGTAGCCCTGTGGCACCTGAGGCCTGGTCTATACTGGGAACTTATTCTGAAATTAGCCCCCCAAAGTCGATATTGTCAGCAATGCTTCCACACTACCAAGCCTGTTATTTTGGAATAAGAGGTTGTAGAATTCAAACTCTAGTCCTCCTTTTCATGAGCAATAACACTATTCCCGAACCTGTAAAACCAAAATAATGTTACTGTGGATGCTCCAGTGCCACTAATTTGAACTAATTGGCCTTTGGGAGGCCCCCCGCAACTTCTCAGAATGCTTCCTGGGGCTCTGAGTCCAAGGTAGCATGCCCACATTAACAGAGCCTGCCTCAGACTACATTTGATACTTCCCCGTAGTAAGGACACAGAACTTCGAATTTGTAAAATCGGCGCCCAGAAGTCGAACTTAGAAAATTTGAAATAATCTCCTAGTTTAGACATGGCCTTAGAGACTAACAAAAATATAGAGTATCTAGAAATGACAACGAGTAGTCAAGTAGTTACTACAGACACTACCACTGGTTACTGGGCTCTTAAATGATGTTTAGGGATGAATTGCTACTAAATAAGAGCACCAAACACAGAGTCAGGACTGGTGGCTATAAACAAACTTTATGAGGCCACAAGAAACTTTGCCACACCCATGATATGTGGACATCCAGCTAACTAAAATCACCCTAGACCACAGATGTTGCCAGACTAGAGAGGTTTAAATCTTGGCTCCGTTAAAATCAATAGCAAACTCCCATTAACTTCAGTCAAACCAGAATTTCATCCTATGTCTGTTGTTTCTATTGTGAGGTGTCTACCCCTCTTTTGGGTATGCTAAAAAAATTAAATAATATTAATATCAACAAATCAATGGTCCCGTGCACATTAATTAATCATTACAACTTAGCTCTTTAATGTCTTTGGCAAATAGTTTGTTTTTCACTGAGGTTCTAGTTATCAGACTCTTCATTTTACCTCATTCAACTTCCTTTCCCTTATATTTGTCTCACTACAATGGTGTCTCTGAAAGATTTCCTTCATCGGTAATGAAATTACTGCAGTCATGCAGTAAAACAAAGTCAAAATTGTGAACGCTGGATTGTTTTGACCTTTTTGTCTCCTCCAAGGTCAGTGTTGTGATGCTTTTGGGGGGAGGAATAGGAGTAAAGAAGATAGATCAATTAGAAATGTATATTGATTGTCTCTTTTACTGTCAAGGGGTTTAGTTTGTTTTTATGCTCATGTCCTTGGTGGGATGGTGTTAAGTTTTTAGAGCACTGTCTTTTCTGTGAAACTGCTACAATGAAAACACATTTAATGAGGAAAATCTTCTTACTAATTTTCAGGTGGTTGCTGGAAAAAATTATAATATAACATTTAAAATGAGGAAGACAAACTGCTCGAAAACAGATGTCAAGGAACAGAGTGAATATTGTGAAGCTACAGCAGATGGTGTAAGTGACTGGAATGCTGCAGACCACCAACTCAGAGCAATGGCTCTCAATTAACCCAATTAAACTACACCAGAAATGACCATGTTCTTAAAATATATCCCAACAAAACAAAAATAGACACCACCAAACCAGCAACCCAGGTTTGGTGTTTTTATTAAATAACTTCAATTGGTCGTTGCTGCCACTAGCAAGCCAGATCAGTAAAGGCTAGTTATTCCTCAATAAACTGAGAGATTTTTCTCTCTCAGCATTATCTTTACCTGTATCGTTAGTTCTGTGTGTGACCCAAGATATTGCCAAGGACAGCAGAAAGGGTTGCTTTGGTCGACTCTCTCCAACTGTACAATCCATTTGATTAATGCAAAGCTATTGGGATAATTTTTGACCATTTCATGGGTGGTTGATCAAAAAGGAAAGGGCGTGAAATGCTACCAGAGTATGGGCAGGATGTTGTTGCTGAAGTGGTGTTCTGCTACAGCGAGGGGCTGGCGCACTTGGGGCAAAGGAAGGTATTGCCAGTTGGGTGCCACTAGGGTCGAATGCTGGTTTAGTACTAGTGGAATGAACACTCCTGAGGTGGGCAGAAAGTGTGTTTGTAGCAGGATGGTGCTGGGCGGGTTTCTCCCCACAGACACATTCTACCTGCTCATCTCTGGGGGTTGAAAAATACTACAGGATGGGACCCAGTCCCACCAAGCCACCCAGTCCCAATGACCACCCAAATTCAGTCCCACCAAGGCACCCAGTAACAATGGCCACTTTGGAAACATTTGACCTTAACCTTTCTACACTCAAATTTCCCCATCTTAAATAATAATAATGAGATCAGCATTTTCCTATCCCTCTAGAGTGTTGTGTTAACTAGCTACTGCTTGTGAAGTACTTTGGAAATGAAAAGTGCTAAGAATTAGTGTTATGAGTTAAACTGCGATGTTCATGTTAGCATGCTAAACTAAGCGATGATAAGATTCTAATATACAAACCTACAAAATTAAGACAGATGGATTCCGCAGATACTCATAAAGCTTCAAAAAGAATAAGATATTTTAAAAGGTTATTAAAATTGTAGAGCCTTATTTCTATACAAGTCTATTCCCATGTTTGTGGCATATTTTTTGTTTTAAGAGTCCATGATGGCTTTGATTGATTGATTGATTGATTAATTAATTAATTGTTGACAGGACGTTTTGGTATGCAGAGCACAAGTTTATGTGGTGCCCTGGACAAAGGAAGTAAGGCCTACAGTTAACTGCGTCAAAGAAAATGGCATGGTATGATTTCTTAATACATATATTATTTCACTTCAGACTACTTACAACTCTCTACACAAAATTTGTAACAGGGAAATATTTGTAACCCTTTGTCTGTCTCCCGAAATGTCCAGTTCTCACCTTAGCTCAATATCTTGGGTTTTTTTTTAAGAAACAATCACTTTTTTCATTTTAGGAATGTAGTGACCATTTCTCTTGTCCTCTGACCGCAGTGACCTAGGCTGAGCTAATGCAGTTCCTGAGATGAGATGCTGGGTTGAGTAAGGATATGTTTACACTGCACCTGGAAGCGAGCCTCCCAGCCCAACTGACAACATGAAAGTACTGTCTACTATGCAGATATTTTCAGTGCACTCGCAAGAGTTCCGCTAACACAGATTTGTGGTCTTAGAAGCTCACTTCCAGATGTAGTTTAAACAAACTAAATGTAGCTGCAAAACATGCAGAATAAGAGAGCAACATTATTATAAAATTAGAGATTATTTTGTCTGCCTGATGACTGATTCTTTGCAGGATCTCTCATGCTCAATTCTGGGTGGTGTTGAGCATTGTACGCCTCCATTAATGTCAATGTTGATGGAGTTTGCAAGCTGGGGAGAAAGAGGAATTACCATGTTGAGGGGATAAACAGCTCTCCACAATGTCTGCTGATCTTTGCACATTAGAAGGGCAGCAAATATCAGTCCAGACCCTTTTTGCTTGGCAACATGAGTCTAGATTGCACATTTTTTCTGCGGAAGGCATTTCCAAATCCCCCCACTAAAACCAACTATTATCCAGCCCTCTTTCTGTGTCACAGCTTGGTAGTCTCAGAAAAGGGATATAAAAATCAAACTCTGATCATTATAGGCCCTTTACTAAAACTAGGAAAAGAAAGAAACATGTGATAGACCTATTTAATGAATCAATCAAGCTCACATTCAGCATTTTTGGTGTATCCATAATATCCTATTCATTATGTATTGACTGCAGATGCCTACTCTAGCTATGTCTTCTGCAAATCACATAGTACCTGAATTCAGTTTTCTAACATGGCTCCACCCTCAGCTTTCCTGAACAATGGTTGAATCCGATTCAGTCACTGGAGTGGACAAGAACCAAATCATGATGAAAATTTGATGTAGAAAGAGCAATAAACTTTGTTGTTCTACATTAGTGTAGGCAAGCGGAGGGTGCTGTTTTGGTTAACAGATATCAAACAGATATTAACCTATGTTTATTATTCTTTAGTTACCCCTATACAACACAGATCTTCAAACCAGAAACTAAAAATTCAATAAGTAATACTTAATTTAATAAAATAATCCAGGTTCTGGCTTGTGCTTGCTTAGAGGCTAGACTGAATATGCATTACAACCCTTCCGTGGTATGATATTCTGTGCTTATGACAGCCCCATTTTACCTCCACAATTCAGAAATATTGTTCACAGACTAAAACCAATACATATGCTTATAAACTCTGCCTGCACTTTTCCTACTGTACTTAGTTCATGAGATCTGCTAACATATTTATGTTAACTGGTCACATTTACACATCATCTTCAATTTGCTAGTTCTCGAATATTTGAAACTCATGCACTGAGGTGAGCAGGCAACAAAGAACTTCCTTCCCCCTCAGAGATGTAAAATCCTGGTTAATTAGTTAATTCAGTGGTTCCCAACCTTTTTTATATTGTTTATCAGCAAACCCATTCACAAACTTTTGAAAGGCTGGAAACATTTTATATGTATATTTCCACAATCGTCATGCAAATGATTAGTATGCAACGATGCAAATAAAATGTGCCCGGTTTGCCAAAATATGTCCCCCAGCCCTGACCCCCAGAGTCACTGCAAAAAGCCAGTTTCAGCTGTGTCTCCTCTCTGCCACTTGGTAGCTGCAGGAGCTGAAGCTGGCTGCTGTGTGG